AGAACCGAATACAATGGAGACATGTGGCTGAAGCCCTAAGTACCTCTAGGAACTAAAGGAAACAATAATAACACCATACACATACTGTCACGTCTCCATGAAAGCCAGCCAAAATTATACCCTTCCACGAGCTGTCATAGCATTCATGTCCTTTTTTATATAATTGCCAGACATGGCTACTGACAGTGGAAAATATGAAAAGACTATTTGTCTTTGACAACAGAGGGATGTTGTTGTTGAGTAATACTGAGGTTCGACATAGAGTCTTAAGTAAAAAGACTAAATCTATCGATAAGATTGTGAAGCTACATCGTTTGATGTGCATAAGACATGTGTTGTGTCATGTCAATTCAAGTCATCATCTTCCTAGACGAGCAATGTTAGCTGGTAAAGGATTAGATTGGAAAGGAGTTACGGGTGTCCAAATCAAAATGTGGCATACGTCCATGAAGTTTTAGACCCTGAAGTTCACGAATAGCACAAAGTATACTAATTGATGATGCCTGTAAACTGGCGTCCCTCATGTACAAAAATGAGAATATACTATTATTATTATTATTATTATTATTATTATTATTATTATTATTATTATTATTAACGCAAGATCTAATACCCGCATCTTCTATAGTATTCATTCCGCATAGACCAAAAGCAAAGCAAAACACCAGAATTGATCAACCGAGTTATGAATGATATTTCGGAACCAAATAGAAGTGCGAGATGATTGCTTAACTAGCTAGGGATCGTGCACGAACGAACGTAACACGACAGCGCACCAAATGGCATGGATGCTTGACCGTAAGTCTTGAGATGTTCATTGATAAATGCTGTGGCTAGTAATTCTGGGGAACTACCTACCGCTACAAAGTCTTTGACACTTGGTTTAAGGCAACCACGTAGGGAAGCATAGATTGATTACCTGACTGCAGTTCTCTGGAGGCCAAGAACTACTGGCTTGAGGCTATCGGTGATAGGGCTACACTTTTGTGTAATGTACCATGTTGAAACTCAGTCCGGATATCTTATTCAACTGGTATAATACAGACAATTCACATAAAAATATACAGCAAAATAAATATGATTTTGCGAAAACTAGCTGTCACACCAAACAACGAAGATAATGAGCAGCAGTGTCGGTGGTACAGCGGCTAGGACGCTCGCCGACCAAGCATATGGTCCGGGGTACGATCCCCGACCACCGGCACACTCCTTTACCTCACTAAACCAGAAACAAAGCTGGTGAAAAGGAAAGGTTGGGGTCATGAGGTTAGCAACCGCACCCTGTAAAAATAATCACCACTGCTACAGAAACTTCAAGTCTCTAGCTTGAAGCCCCCTATGTTCCGCTGGAAATGTGAAGGAATGAAAAAAGAAAAATGAGCAGCAGGGTAGAGACAGTTTCACTGTTTTCGTTTGCCTTTTGTGTAGTTTCTTTCCTCTTTCTATTCGGTGTATAAAGTACATTACATATTGGGATAATAAATATTTGTAAAATAAATGTTATTTCTAAAGCCTCATATTTCTACATTAAGTATTTACCTATTCGAGTTTATTGTAGAAAAAAACGAATGCCTGTGAAGTTCATAGACGGATGCAAACACAGTTTCGCCAACTTCCATTCAGAAATACAAGTAATCATACTCGATAGAACAGAACTAAATATATCGTGACTTTATGATGTTTTACGAGTTGATCACGGATTGATATCAGTTAGAGAACCATTGAAAACCAGTACTGGAGTACTGGACAGCTGCTGTTTCATCCTAGTTTGGGGATCATCAGCAGTACGCACCCACTGAGATTCGAACCCAGGACCTTCCGGTTACAAGGCAAGCTCGTATACCATTCAGCCACTGGGACCCGATTCAATGGCTCATGAATTCTAACTTCTACCAATTCGTGATTTAGCGCGACTCTAACCATTGTCGTTGGTGGGACATCCATCCACATACGTGGCATCTAATTGGACCTCACTGGTCACGACCTCTCACTAGAACTCCAGGAAGCTCCATCCTGTAGCAAGTCACTAGCGAGCATCAGATTAATTATCTATAGTCCAACCAAAGACAATGGTTGGAGTCGCGCTAAATCACGAATTGGTAGAAGTTAGAATTCATGAGCCATTGAATCGGGTCCCAGTGGCTGAATGGTATACGAGCTTGCCTTGTAACCGGAAGGTCCTGGGTTCGAATCTCAGTGGGTGCGTACTGCTGATGATCCCCAAACTAGGATGAAACAGCAGCTCTCCAGTACTCCCTGGTTTTCGATGGTTCTCTAACTGATATCAATCCGAAATCAACTCGTAAAAACATAACTAATCGTTACAAACCAAAACTTTATGATGTCATAAATTTTGGTTGTGCTGCACAATCTATACAAGTATTCGATTTACTTTTTAGTGAACCAGTATATCCCAGTTTCCAATTTCAAGTCTAATCTCAAAGATTTCAACGGGATAAGATACTCGCGTATCTTCTTGTGGTTATGTAGTTTTATACCTCGACATCTCCTTCAGGAACTTCAAATCCATAGGCATTATTAGTGTGCAACCGGTGTTTTCCAACGCTAGACTGAGTATTTGTCTATCTAACCAGTATTCAGGATGAAATATTCACCTTAGTCAAGGGACTTTAACGCAGACACTAATTAAGCGCAGTCATTAAATGATAATTCACTAGAATAAATCATAAACATATTACAGCACGTCAACACATAGTAACGGTCTTATCACCTTCCAGAAGAGCACACACACAGCAGAGTGCATTCAAGAGTATTATTTTTCTATTTATATTATAGCTTGATTCCACACCGTATTTTTGGAATTTTCGGCATGTGATATCATCAGTAGCCCAATTTTCGCAGGCCGACCATTGATATCAAGTGTGCGTCGGCAGGGGATCGCACTCCAGACCATGTGCATGGTCAGCGAGCCTCCTAACCGCTGTGCCACCGACGCAAAAAGTATAAGGATCATTGACTCAAGATGTGAATATCTAAAAACAGAATTTCTTTCTTTACAGTCATCCCATGGAAAAAAATGTGTAAAATTGAAAAGTTTAAGAATTCAGGTTTATAGCTTTCATCAAAATTCCATAAACACTTCATTGAAAATGCTATCACTAGCTCTACAGAATCAAATACGCTAGAATTTCAATATTCTTTGAGGAGATGAGTAAATTCGTACAATGTTAGATAACTTATGCCTCCAATAAAATTATAAGTAGTCTGCTCGTTTCCTGGTTTTCCATCTTTATAGTCCTCATAATTACTAAATGTGATCACATTCGTTTATAGATATTGAGACTAAGTGCAGATATTAATGAGGATACAATTCCGAAAACCACTTCAAACACACCGTGTATGACTGGTGTAAAGCAGTTGTTCATTGGCCTATGCAGTTATGCAACACTAATGTTCCTTTCATTTAAGGTACTATAAGAAGAAATCGACTTTGACAGTGTGGGCAGCCGGGAAGTAATAACCACACACACACACAATTCTATAACCTCGGGTCAGGAACTTGCACTGCGTGTCATGAGAAGAATTTCCAATAGGCTAGTGCAGACTTTCATCAACAGCTGCCCCCCCCTTCGCTGGCTCCATACTGAAGATCAAGTGGCTGGCCGGAAAGAATAAGCAACAAGAAACTCTGGCTGGGAACAAACCAACAGACGAGAGCCAATCGCTCAACAAATATGTAGGAGGAAGTGGAAATAGTTTGATCGGGCATACATTGAGGAGGCTGCCGAATAACATCGCGCACCAGCTAGACCATTGATCGACTGGAATCCCAATGGGAAGCCACGAGTGAGTTGTCAGTGCGAGGGTGACATGGAGATGAGAGAGTTTGGTCAGTCGTGGACCCAGCTGAAGAGGACGGCAGGAAACAGAACAAAGTGGAGATGTGTTGTTGAAACCGTATGTTCCATTCGAAACACAAGGGAACAATAATAATACACACTTCTATAAGCACATAAAGATTTCCAGACCATCACCCCTGACAAAGCAAAAATGTCTATGCTACAAGCAGTTACCACATTCGCTCAAAAGGACAACACTCTGCATTATAGCAAATCTCTTGTTCCGCTAAATGACATGCACAGATATAGGCAGCAGAAGCTGAAGGTACATTATAATTCGAGTTGAAAGTAACAGATACCTTTAATTATTTTATGACTGACTGGTGGTTGAATGCGCCTTTAGGAGTGGTTACCTAATAGTTATAACATGCCCCTAACATAACAATATTATGTATATATATTATTACTCAGTGGTCAAATTTACTAAACATATACAAAACAATTGGCATGAAATCTTAATGCATGCAAGCTTTGCACTAATAAGTCGCGCAAAACATACACAGACTATGACATTCACACATTGTAGAACCATTTAACATTGAGAAAAGACAAATATCAATTTTGAGAGCAAATTATTACCAGTTGCAATGTACAAATGATATGATCAATAACATTAAAAACTCAGTAGAATTTATATAAACAAATGAACATATCGAGAAATGAAAAGAAAGAGCAAACAAAATAAAGATTATGACATTATAATCTGAATGATGAAAAATAAAACAAAATGTGATAAATTAGGAATCATGACAAACTTAACTAAACAAACAATATATAGGCAATTTAAAGCAAGAATAAAAAGGTTATCTGTGTGTTGGAAAGCACATTTTGGAAGAGCTAAATTTCAACACATTAGCCTATGATGTTTTAGATTTAATTGTCCTACAGAGACGTTTATAGAATTTTAAAAAAATAATTATATTGCAAAAAACAACTAGAGCTAGGCAAAATAGAGATAAGGGTATTGAAGGCGCGTGTGACATAAGTTTAAGTTTAACATTACGTTCCTGTAGATCAGTTCTAAGTGCATAATATTGTGTTACAGAGGCGAAAGCAATTAATACATGAAATATTTGATGACTATGGCCAAATATATCAAATTTTCCAGGAAACCAACGTTCAGGAAAGTGAGACACGTACAGAACGGCAGCAGAAAATGTTGACAGGAAGTGAATATTCCAATAGTAAACTGAAGCACATTCTGAAGATTCATCACCATTCGTCAAATATCTACAAGAAAATGAACGCCATAAAATTGGGAGTGCGAGGTAAATCACATTGATTGAAAATGCACCCATTCGAACAACATTGCGCATAAACGAGGGCTCCCAGAACCTAGTTTGACACGACAAGTAAGTACCACAAATACAAAATAACACTGAAGTAAACAAGAACAGATCACATAAATTCAAGCCAAAGCCTGATGAAAGACTCAAGAAATTCATAGGCAACGCAAATGCATAGTAGCAGACAGCACAGCCAAAAGAGTACAAGGTTATACCTATATAGTCGCAAAAGAAGCAAACATGGCGAGCTCTGGGAGACAAGCAACTGAATGTGTGAGCACAAGAACTGGTGAATAGGAAAACAACGGCAGTCACAAGATATATCAGGAGAAAACGCTCACCAACGTGAAAGAAATTCAGCACTAGTTCGATAACAAAATAAAGAAATGGTATTATCTGTGTCCAGATATTCATCGTTTCGTTGTGCAGTTGGAAAATAGATAGAACGCCTGTTGTAAAAGAGGCTGATGGCTTGCGATAACCCGATAGTATTCCAACTTCATGAAAATCAGATGAAATTTGTGAGGCTGACAAAATTTCTAACTTTCTCCTCTTCAGGTTACCATGTTTCTGGCAGTTGCCAACAGCTTGATAATGAACATCTTTATCTCCACCAGCAAATGAGCTCATTAACATTAGTTTCATGAGATCCTGTTGATGTACTTTTCAAAGCAAGATTTTAAACTCCTCTCTCAGACTGGAATTCATAGTGTGAAACATGACCTTCATAAGGCATTATGCTATTGGGCCAAGCGGACTCATGCGACCCTCCAAGGTCGCGAACGCCACAATTCTAAAAGCGCTCCACGACCCTTTATCCTTAGTTAACGAATATGGTGAGAGGAGACTCATTATTTCCGTTGCCTGACCAATTTTTTGAGTTTTTGGATGTTGACGCATACTTTCTGTGTCCATTAAGTGAGGCTGAACACTACACATAACTGGTTAGGAGAAAATAAGCTGGCTATTTTCATAGTCATTTTTCAAGATTTCAGATACTCTTTTACTCTGTAATGTATGCAGCTTCATACAGCGTCGTCATCATCTCTTGATTTTATTGTATTCCCTTACAATTATATATAAGTCTTCACCATTGAATTTACGTATCAAACCTGCGTTAGCAAACATTTACTCAGCAGTCAAGCAGTCTTTTTAACTGGGATTTCCCCACTGTCTGTATATGACCTGTAAAACTGACTAATACGACCATATAAATTCAATGGAAGCATTTCGGAATGAGAAGCGGAATTAATAATATCCCTAATGCATAGCATTCGCGTAATAATATTGGTGACAGTATGGTTAGCGATAACTATAATATTATTGACGATGTGCATGTCAAACATGCACAGGATAATGACAACAACAATCGGGAATATAAGTCATAGGTATTAATTCCATACAAAGAAGGAACCTCGGAAACCTTACGGCGGAAAATTCCTAACAATGCAGGAATAAATGTGACGTTCAAACCTACAAACTGAATTAGAAACAAGCTTTGTTGGTTAAAGGGTCCTGTAGAGCCAAAAAACAAAACAATTTAGTTTAGGTAATACCTTTTTGGCCAAATACATAGATCAAAGTAGTACAATAGGGGCAGTCAGACTAGCCGAGCATAAAAACCCAGTAAGATCTAGATTAGTTGGCCCCTCAAGGAATCTTGACAATAGTTCAGCCATAGCACTACATGTAATTACACACAACCATATAATAGGATGGGATAAGAGGAAAGTTTTGAAATCCAATGCACCAAAACTGAGGGAGAGATTGATAACATAAGCTTTGTTCATCGAATCAACTGAAGAGAATACGTGTAATAGAAATGATATAACACCTGTCCCAGATAATTGGAAAATTCTACTACCCCAATGGTGACAAATCGGAGAGAACAAAGAAAACTATAAAACTCAAGTTTCGAAGTCGTGTAATTATAATTAATGTGATTATGAACATTAAATTCACATTGTTTCGCTGCGTGATATATCTAATAAACAAACTAATATGGAGTTACTTACTCCCTGAGCATTTAGGAAACGGTATCATTAAAAGGAATATTTTTTTCAACACTGTCAAAACCGGCTTTGAAGTAACGGGCGTAAGTTAGAGACTTGTAAAACTTTTCAACTCCATTCGCCGATTTCCAGCATCTTTTGTCTTTTTTACGCACTTCAGCAAAGTTCTGCGTTTTTGTTTCTGTATTCATCTACCCCGCTGGTGGTTCGGTGGTTCAGCGGTAGAGCGTCTGCCAAACACACATGTGGCTCATGTTTCGATCCCAGGCCGACTTACTCCCTAACCACGCTAAGGCAGTAGTAAGCCCCATAAAGAGGGAAGGTCAGTTGGTAAGGAGGCTATCAACCCAATCCTATGAAAATAAAACCGCTGCTAACGGAACTTCACAGCAAAAGCTTTAAGTCCTATGTTCCACTAGGAACGTTAGGGGACAGAACAAAACTCAACTACAGTAGTTTTGGTTGTCTCGAAGAAGAGTGATGTGAGAGATTGGTTATATGTGGTTTGCTGTATGTGCTGTTGCTGTGAGTGCAGTTGATTCTTCACCCGTTATTCGCGTAGTGTGGTCGAAAGGGGAGATAAAATAAAAATGATGAAATAGGTGGAGATTATGTAGATTTACAAAGACAAACGGACAAACAAATAAATAAAAAACAGTTAATGCACTAAGAAGAGTTAGACCAGGGAAACTGGGCATGAGTAAACGGATGAGTTTAGATGAGGCCTACTAATCAAGTGCGATGCGTGAGTTCCAAGGGCGTGATCTACTTGGAAACAGTCTTTGTTTTGCTGTATGATTACCATGGTATCAAATGCGTTCGCAAAAACTATAAAAGTCACATGGATCTTAACATCCAGAGCCGACACTAGGCCAGGTTATTACGTGCTGATTCTAGATTTGTCACGAAGCATCTGCCCCCTTTTACACAATGTTCCTCCTCATGCAGTGTATTGTTCCCGCCAAAATGTTGTCGATATGGTTGTCAATCAGGTGAAGGCCTGGAGTCACCCCAAAATACTAATTCAAGATGTAACACTTCGTTGTCCCAGAAAAATTGACAATGGATTTTTTCTTGAGTTGATTGACCTCGCCATGACAATCATGAGAGGATCAGTTGAGACGCTATGCGCCCACCAAGCTTCAGCCAAAATAATATGACAACGGGCGTTTTCTAGTCCTCCGTAATATCTAGTGCTCTCACTCAAGAGCGTCACAAATTTTATGGAACCTTTTGGCCTACTGTCTCACGGACGGTGGCAATGTATGTAGGAAACACATACTGAGAACCATCGGAAAACTATGGTGAAATCCAACTGAAACTTACTTCCCATGCTCAATCCATCAACCGAGAAAAGATGTTCGATAGAAGAGCCATAGTGTCGTAATTAGCCATGAGCGATCACTAACCGATTACTTCTAGTTGGCCTAAGCGGTCGGGGTAATTTCACTCCGTCCACCAAACCCAAACCATTTTTGACAACTCTCGCCAAATGTATGCCCGTTTTCAATAGACAGCAAACGAATTCTTTCCAGTATTTTACAGGCATGCCCAGTTATTCCATGTGGTGGTAAACAGAATAATCTTTCTTGCATTATCTAAAGGCATCATCGCAGATATCTAGTAATATTTCCAGTACATATTCGACATATGAATTATTGGTTGAAGCTTTTGCTTAAAGGCTCTTATCTTTAGATGACTTTGGACTATTAAAGAGTCATCTTATAACTGGACAGCCATGAACTCTCAGAAATTCAATCACAAAAATTTTGATCGTCGTAGAGATATAAGCCATAGGATGAGACCCATCTTATCAGTGAGTCGTCGGAACCATTGTTAGTACAGCCCAATCCGTGTAGATGAACAGCTCACTTTAAAGGGACGTTTTACTAACCTTTACGCATACATTTTCCCCGATTATATATTTGCAAGTGCCTCCGCCCGTCACACGGAATGCCTGCGTTTGACTACCGGTCGAGAAGCCAATCCTAGCCTAGTTTACTAGCTCTCTAGTCTTCTAGCTAGTACCATTCCCTGGAAGAGATGGAAGGCTAGACCTGAAGCTAACTACCCTACAACGGAAGATCAATCCATTTGTTATAAAACTTCGGACTACAATGAAAGTGTAGATAACCTATCCTTCGATAGAATCGAAGAGACGAAATGCAGCCAGATGGCGAAATCATTCAAGAGGCCAGTCAGCCACTGCTTCCTGTTTCGATGAAAGCGAAAATAAGAATGGGGTCTTGGAATGTTCGCATAATATAAGAAACTGGGGAGGCTGCCCACGTTGCCAAAAAATGAGTAGACACGGCGAAGAACTGCCAGGAATCTCCAAGAAAAGGGGAAACGGAAGTGGTCCATCAAGATTGTCGACTGCGGAGTCGGTAGTCTACTCCGGACACCCAGACGACAAGCACAAGCGCAATTGGACAGCGGCTATCATGGCGTCAATAGCGGCAGCCAAGTATGTAATGCAGTGGAAACCGATTTCAACCAGGATCATGACAGCAAGATTCAACTCAAATGTAAAGGAGAAAGGTTACAATTATCCAATGCTACGCTCTCATATACAGATTCGAACAACAGGAGGAAGAATTCTATAGCCAGCCGCAGACAGTAATGGATAAAATCCCATTAAATTCCTAATAGGCCATATGACTGCGAAGCTGGAAGCCGATAATACGGGAAGAGAACTCATCATAGATCAAGAGCCCATTGGCGAAATAAATTATAGGAGCGCGATTCTCATGAAGTAGAGGTCGGAACTGCAAAAGAGACCTACACTACAGCCATTAAAGTAAAGCTGGAGGTACTAGATAGCACCTGAGAGAAAACTTGTGTGGAAGGACATTGAAGCACTTCAAAAGCGGTGTCTGGGGAAACGTGCACAACCGTTTTAGGAGGGAAGAAAAGGCAAG